ATGATATCTCCTAAAATGTTCCAAGGGGTCCCAGAAATGTGCCCAAAGTGCCCCCATACCTCCTAATAGGTATTTGGAGGGTGGGGGTGTTATTTGAAAAAAAATAATTTGGAGGCCACAGAAATTATCCTGCAGGCCACATATGGCTCCTGGGCAACATTTTGACCCCCTGATGTTCTAAAACAAGAGTAAACTAATTTTTGACCCTAATCTAGGACCTGTCATGGACTATTCTAGCCTCTGAAAATAAAAGCTGGAAGTCCAGTTTTGGATTTTAAACACTCTTTGTGGAGGCAGAGGGAGAATGTGATGTGCAGAGCAAGGTGAGAGGGGCTGCACCTTGTTTTAAAGGAGAATCACCACTCCTGTGACAAATCTTATCCTTCAGCAAGGAAAAAGGATTGTTGGAGAAGGAATTGAGGAGGTCCAAAGGGGGCACAGCAGGTGCCAAAACAGCTGGGTGGTACCCACCCCTATTCTAAAGAATTCCTGGACTGCACTTAATTCATTTTCATCATGCACAGCATTATAATAAATTGAGTATCCATGGTTAGGAGCAGTATATCATATTTATTTTTTTCCTCCCAATGTTTTGAAAGTCAGACCTTTATGAGCATCTCATACACAATGCAGTAATTAAAGGCAGCAGTCCTCCCCCTCATCTCTTGGCACCTGCAACTTAGAGGTAGACTGCCTTTGAATATGGAGACTCTGCTTAGCTATCATGGCTCAAAAGAAGTCAGAACAGGTTCTGCACTGGTTTCAGACTACTAGTACTTAAAACAGACATTTGGCCATAATGGAAGTGGCCTGCCATCCAAGAACTGGGCAGGATTGACCCTGCTTAGATTCCACTATCCACTCTGCTTCCAGGGATTATATCTACAGCATCTAACACAACAGAACAAAACAATGCATTGAAAGGCTGAGCAGATTGGCCAGAAAGCATTTCTGCAGTATTGCAGCTGCTACCTGAACTAATGTCTGTTCTGCCTTCTTGCAAGAAGGGAAGGGCACAGTATGAGTAGATAGATCTAGGAAGAACTCATGTGCAAAAAAGAAGACAAGATGGCTCACTTGTAGGCATGCACTTTGTTTTGATAGCCACAGGCTTAGCTCTCGACCTGGATGGTTGCCTTGCCAAAGACACATCAAGGAACAGTGCAAGTACAGTTATGCCTTCATTAACAAAGCCTCTGACAAACTCTTTTTTTACAGCATCTTTTTAGAGCTGCCCATCCCTGCTTTTTCCTCTTTGTTCTCTGTCTAGTTGGAAAAGGGCTTGTTTTTTTTAGCAACAGTGGCATTGGGAGAATGGTTAAAGCAGGTGGGAGAAACACAGACCTTTGGTGCTGGATTGCAACAGCATGTCTACAACAAGCAATGCAATAAAATCCTGAGCTGGGGAGAAATGGGGTTCCATTCTAGCCAATCCTACTGCAGCTTTGTGTGTTTGTCTACAACTGGCAAGGGAAACAGAAGCTGGCTTCAGAACCTCTTACTGAGCATAGATGAACAGTAAAACAGAAGAGAAGAGTGGATAAGCCTGCAACTTATTTAAAAAAATGTTAGTTTGGACACAAACATGGAAATAATAAGAAAACGAAGTCATCCCTGGGTTTATTTTTATTTTATTTATTTTTTTAGAAGAAGCTTTCAGATGGTCTCTAAAAGATTCAGAAGGTTTTTGTTTCCTTATACAAGTCTTGAGAGCCAGTGTGGTGTAGTGGTTTGAGTGTTGGACTTGGACACTGGGAGACCATGGAAATCCACCAGGTGAGCTTGGCAAGTCACACACTCTCAGCCTCAGAGGGAGACAAGGGCAAAACCCCTCTGAACAAAATCTGCCAAGAAAACCTTACGATGACCCACATGTGGCTTTAGAATCACCATAAGTCAGAAATGATTTGGAGGCACACAACAAGAACATACGAGTCTTCCCGGATGGCATTGTTTCCTTTCTCATGTGCATATTGATCGTTTTGAATGAAAAGGTTTCCAGAAACATGTTGAACTTTTTCTCGTGCTAAAAGGAACCCTTCCTTGGTCTTTGGTACTCAGTTTTCTGTTAAAGAAGTGATGCCCAGGAACAAGTCTACTCCATTCACTGAGGTATACCTGCAACCTCCCTTGCACAATTGCTCTGATGACAAGAAACCAGAACTTCATTTCCTGCTTGACCTTTTGCATAATGCATACCTATAATTGCTGCTAGTCCTGCTTATCCCGATAGATTTGCTTGTTGTTTTTTCCTCTTAAGCCTAGAGCATCTTATTGGCTGCGGCTCCCAACCCTTTCATGCCAGTTTCCATGTGGTTACGGCATGTCTCCTGCTTCGGATCTTGTTGATGGTTCTTGGTTTCGGAGCCCCAGATGAAAAGCACCTGAGCTGCGCCTTGGCAGGCTGTTGACGAAAACATCACCATTTTTTGGCAAGTTGGGACAAGTCTTGCAGTACCTACACACCTGTGGGATTTGCACACTTGCAGAAGAAGCCAGATGCCCGGGGTAAAAAAAATGAATATTTATTTTTACTAAATGCCTCAATTGCTTAATACAGAATGGAATGCTATTTCTATACATAATTTAAGCAAGACCTTCTTTACTCCAGTGTTGAAAGAATTCTTGGAGAAGAGGAATCCTGCGTTGCTGATTCAGGATTAAAGTTAAACATTCAGAGACTTCGTTTAAGGGGTGTCTATATCCATTTGTGCAAACCATTTTGGAAGAGGGAGGTAGAGGGGGCTTAACAATGGAAGACGGGGAGAGTTATTGGATTGTGTAAGGGTCAGCCCAAAGAAGTCCTGGGTTCCAGTCCCTGCTCAGCTGTAAAGCTCACCATGTGGTCTTGTTTACCTTGGGCTGCTTTTCAGCTTGTTAGAAATTGTATTTTTTTTTTTTGTGATATTCTTATAAGATGCCCTACAATTTATTTATTTTTTTGGTGAAAATTAATATACAAAATGATGTATAAAATAGAGGAAGGATGGGATTTTTAAAAAGTTCTCACATTTTGTTTGCCAAAGTCGGCAGACTCTATCCATTTGCAGTAAATATAAGAAATGTGCATAGATTTTTCTGCATGCTGGTCTCATTGGGGGGAGTGAAGAAGAATATATGTGTATAATATCAATTCTTACTGCTCAGCTGCTCCTTAGCTCCGTTTCCCTAGTGAAATCTATTTGATTGAACTGGAGCTTTGGAAAAGTAACTTTGTGGGATAATCAGTCCTATAATGGCCCAGCTGGCAAGGCCACAAATAACTTCTCTGAGCTGTGATCTGTTCCTTTAGCAGACAATACAGTTGGCCCTCTGTATCATAGAAGCAGGCATATTATTGCAGCATTTGCTTTCCAGCTTCAAGACGCATTCATCTAGCAGGCACACAAGAGCTGCCAGCAGAAGGGTAGCCCAGTCGAATTGATGGGGCCTGCTGGCTTCAGTATCAGCGCATTGGTGAATCTACTGTGGGTCTTAATCTAAATTTTAATAGAACTGTCCACGGTGCTGAAACCTACCCCCAAAATAAGGTTCAGTGCCTTAGATAATTCTTTTAATATTTGAATTAAAACTCATTCTACTAACAGAGAATCCACCAGCTGGCCTTAGGGAAGAATAACATCCCACATAAATCCACAATAACTGATCTGAGTGAGAAACAGTGTGGCATAGTGGTTTAAGTGTTGGATTGTGACTCTGGAGACCAGGGTTCAAATCCTTGCTCAGCCATTAAACTCACTGGGTAAGCATTGGCAGGTCACACTCTCTCAGCCTTAGGGGAAGCCAATGGCAAACCTTCTGAACAAATCTTGTCGAGAAAACAAGATAAGGTCTTGAAGGAACACAACGCACATGCACAACTTTTGGTCTAATCTGGGATGGCTATTTTAATGTCAATGCAGAATCTAGGGCTCTCAAGCCTTTCTATATCTGCTAAAAGTCACTGAGTTCAACATGACTTCCCAGAGAGAGGAGTGAGGTGAACCTAGATACCAGAATGTCTGAGAACTTATTTCCTTTTCTTTTTTATCTACACTGTTATAATAAGTAAATACATTTACATGACATTTTAATCTATTACAAATAAGTGTACAGTTAGCATCAGTTGATGTGCCTTGTTATTGCCATAATTCATCAGAAAATGTCAGTTTTCCCTGTCAGAAAAGTTCAAATACTTCTATTGCTTCTCTTTTTATCTTAAGTTATGCTGCGGATTAACAACATATCCTTGATCTTTTTTCCCATTCCCTTTAGTGAGGATTTAACTTCCTTCAGGTGCTTGCATAGAGGAAAATTCTAGTTGTGGTTATTATGATATAAACTAACAATGTTTTCTTGGTGTTATCTCTTACTTTAATACATGTCAACAGAAGAATTCCATAATCTGAGGGCAATCATACTCCAATAATTCATTTAATTTATATTTTCAATATAAACTCAATGTTAGTCTCTACCTCTATGTCATCTGTAGCTTCCATTCTTAATTTTTCTATTTTTCTATACTGTCTGACTCAGACTTCTTCATAAATGGCAAATGTATATTAATTAGTAATAGCAAAATTACTGCAGTAAAATAGTAGTGCAAGGCATTTTGTCACCATTGAGTGAATCATCTGATAGCACATAAAATAAATTTGATTAACATTTGTGAACATTTAAAAACTTTTCCTACATTCCTATGAAAGTAAATACAGTGGGCCCTTGGTGTCTGCTGGGGTTTGGTTCCAGGACCCCTCATGGATACCAAAATATGGGGATATTCAAGTCCCATTAAATACAATGGCATAGTAAAACGATGTTTCTTATATAAAATGTCAAAATCAAGGTTTGCTTTTTGGAATTTTTTTTTGGCGGGGGGGATGTTTTCAAACTGTGATGGTGGAATCTGTGGATGCAGAATCCATGGATGCAGAGGGATGTCTGTAAACAACAAACGAGGCATTTACAGATTAAAAAATAATTGAAATGTAAGTATAAAATTATACATTTATTTTTACAATAATAATGTATTACAAATTTTTATTGTGATTTCACTCCAAATCGTTTCGGACTCTGACTCCTCAGCCCTGCCTCTTACTCCCTTGTACACAATGGCATATTATTGTTGCATTTTCAACATAAATTCTGCTCTTTTTATACCGGATGGAGGGAATAGACCCTTTTCTCCTAATAGATTTGGGGCCTGTAAACTTATATTTCCCTCCCATGGAAGGAACAGATGCTGCATTGTCACACTTTTTAAAAAATATATTAACGGCTGTTCTTCCACCCGTCTCAACTTTTCTTATCACCTCCTCCAGTTCCTTGTGGTTCTCATAATAGACGTGACTCAGACATGTAACTAAATTCAGTTCTCCCTACAACGCACACAGACACACCGCTACCTACACTCTACTCAGTTCTGTTTTTACTTTCCTGCTTTTATAGGCCTGGCGCTGTTTGGTTTGAAAGGTCTCCAGGTTTGTGTGGCTTCTCTTCTAGCCCAAGATAGCTCTTCAACAGAAAATAGTATTGGGATGTGGGCATGGTTTTTATTTTACCAATGAAAGACAGTGTGGAATGGCCGGAGAACACTAAAAATGGAACAATTTGGTCACCCATGTCTTCCTTGCCTCACCCACTTGGCAGTCACCATTCACAATAAGGTTGCCCATGTCAGAATTCAGAGCTAGCTTAGAAAAAATATATATATATTATATATATACATACTTTTTTTGGACTGCAAGTCCCAGAATCTCCAAGCAAACGTGGGCAGAACTGCAAGGCCCACCTGGAATCTGGGGCCTTATCGCATTACGCATTTGCAGCAGAATTATTATGATTTAGGGTTGGCAGCGTGAAAACTGGAGAGGGCTCCTGTGCCTTTGCCAGTTGTGTAGAAGATGGGATTTCAGCAGTGGCCCATCCATGCTACACAATGAGAACCCTATTATTTCCTTTGCTGTTAATTATTATTTCCTCCGATTGCTCTGCAGAGGGGCAGGATATTAATAATAATAATAATAATAATAATAATAATAATAATAATAAGAAGAAGAAGAAGACTTCTGCTTCTAGCACAGTGTGGAAGTGGCAAGGACGGCTATCTTGTTTTGCCGCATGCGCTAGGCAAATGCTTCTCCAAAGCTCACTTTTTAACCACTCAAGCCAAGTCCTTGGCAGCTGGCTTTGCAAGACAGCACAAGTTATTTCCAGGCAGGTAAAATAGGGGAAGTGCAGCGACTTGTGCAAACAAAAGGCTTCAATTCTGACTCATTCAAATGTGCGCCTTATTTGGGCTCTTCGTTTCTTAACCACATTGTGACTTGCAACTGATGGTGTGAATAGGCAAGCCTCTCCTTTTTTGCATCTGTATACTGGAAATTTCAGAACCAGTGATTCTCAGCCTTTTATTTTGGGTCACGGACTTCTCTGAGAAAATGACGAAAGCTATGGACAGAAACACATGCGCACACAATTTTGCAAACCGTTGACTGCACTGAGGATTTGTTTCCTTCCCATACACATAGTTTGGAATGGGGAAAAAGGCAGTGGAGATAGTAAAGACTAGCTTTTGACTTTAAAAGTCACTATTACCAAGGAAAAACCAAGGAGGCTATACGGCCCTGAACTTGCAAGACCTGAGCAGAGCTATTGAAGGGGTTCCATTCACAGAATCACCATAAATTGACATGATTGCAGTTAACAAGAATGATGCCAGGAAAAATGCCAAGTAACAGGAAGGAAATAGAAGGAGTGAAATCAATCCTTTGCACTCACTTTTATAGACCCACTGGAGATCATCCTTAGATTCCTGGTTGAAAAGCCCAGAGGAGGTTATTCAGAGGAGGTTTCCCATTGCCTTCCTCTAAGGCTGAGAGAGAGCAACTTGCCCAAAGTTGCCCAATAAGTTTCCATGGCTAAGTGGGAATTTGAACTCTGGTCTCTCCAGGTTTTAATCCAGACTATTACACCATGCTTTAAAAACCAACATGAAGCCAGATCTTGGAATGTTACTTTTACAAAAGCAAATGCTTATTGTTGCAAGCTTTCCTGGTCACTGGTTACTGTTATAATATTTGCAGTTTTTTCAAAATAAAACATATTACTTGTTATTTGAAGGTAATTGAACCAGTTAACATTACTTTAAAAAAATAAGCATCCAAATGTTACAAGCTGTTGGCTAGTGGCACTGAACATACTGAGGGAGTGAAACCATACCTATTGTATTTATAAAAGCGTTTAGGTTATCTAGGGATGCATCTGCACTGTAGAAATAATACAGTTTGACATTGCTTTAAGTGCTGTAGCGCCATCCTTTGGAATCCTGGGATTTATAGTTTTACAAAACTTTTAGACTTCTCAGCCAAAGAAGGCTGGTGACTCACTAAACTACAAATCCCAGGATTAAGTGGGAGCCATGGCAGTTAAAGGGATGTCAAACTGCATTATTTCAGTGGAGATGTGCCCCCTGTCAGTAAGAAGTGTCATGAGTCCCCAGCCAAAGCTTTAAAATTTTACTTTCCCTCCACTCCCACTACAACTCCCAGAACT